GAGTTTGCATGTTCTCCTCGTGCTTGCGTGGGTTTTCTCCGGGTACTCCGGTTTCCCCCACAACACAAAAACATGTACAATAGGTTGCCTTCAGGCCCAGGCCGCCCTTGAAAAAGAGATCTGAGATCTCAATGGGATTTGCCTGGTAAAAATAACAGTAAATTTTTACACCTCCCTTTCTTCATGTGTTCAATACTTTTTCCCTGTGCCATTCCACATTATTACAAATAACTTCATTTCTGGACATTTATGGTTTGATTTCTTTGTATGTATGGATCACTTGGGTTGTTACCAACAACTGATGGAAATTTCATGTCATTAGCACCTCTAGTAATTTTTATTTTTTATTTTACTGTTATTTTACSAGGCAAATCCCATTGAGATCTCAGATCTCTTTTTCAAGGGCGGCCTGGGCCTGAAGGCAACCTATTGTACATGTTTTTGTGTTGTGGGGGAAACCGGAGTACCCGGAGAAAACCCACGCAAGCACGAGGAGAACATGCAAACTCCGCACAGAAAGACCCCAGGTCCGAACCGGGGATCGAACCCAGGACCTTCTTGCTGTGAGGCGTCGGTGCTAACCACTGAGCCGTCGTGCCACCCAAATAAGTAATATATTTACTGAGAAAAATGGTGACGTGTTCAATACTTATTTTGCCCACTGTATTAAGTTTGCTACAGAGGGGAGAAAGTAYTTAGTCAGCCACTAATTGTTCAAGTTCTCCCACTTAAAAAGATGAGAGAGGCCTGTGATTGACATCATAGCTGGACCTYAACTTTGAGAGACTGAATACGTTTTTTCCCCCACTGTACATGTGTACAGAATACTCCATCTTTTAGGACACATTTTTTGTTTCTTGGTCTTGTCTCGGTCTCGCCCTCCCTTGGCCTTCGTCTAGACTTGGTCCAAACCCTAAAAGTATTGGTCTTGACTACAACACTGGTCTCTAGTCCACTTGACCTTCTAGACAAATGAACTAGAGTTTGATTAAAGTGGACTAAACAGGGCTGGTGTGAAKAYACCCTGTGTGAATACACCCTGAGAATACARCTCACACAAGGTGTATTCACACCCTGTGTGAGCTGTTTTCTCAAGACGATGACAGAGGATGAATTGGTCCACACAAGATGCTTTAATGTGTTTAACAGGTGAGTTATTACATAAATATACTGTATTCATGTTCTTTTGTAATGATGCTTCCCCGTGCTTTTGTTGAACTRGTTATAATAAACTTTGYAAACTGGCTTTGCCTTTCACCTATAGATGTTTCTTATCACACAGCTGTACTTTCATCAAAGGAAAGCAATGATCTATAACCACTGAATCCCAGCTCTTGGAAGCATAATTATATTGTGAAGAGTTGAACATGCAAGTCTTAATATTACAGAGTTAAAATTGGATTTCAGTTTTTGCAGCTTAGCTTTCCATACACAATTAGCTGCTTTCATGCAGAGGTAGCAGGAGTGTAGCCTCCTTCCTTTTATTATTTTTCTGTCCAAACAAGTTTGTTTGTGCATTTGTTCAGTGTTTGCTGCACCAGCGTGTCAGCATCAAGCTCCCCAGCAGGTTTGACTTATTAATGTGTCTGTGCTTTAGAGATGTAAACATACATACCAGCAGGACAGTGTCCTTCTGACATAATGAGGACTTCAGACTGCTGCTTGCAGGCATCTCTGCGGAGGAAACACTCGTTCTGATAGTTCTTATTGTTGGAGCCACACACTGGGGCATAGTCATTGTTGCACTGCAGGGGGGGAGAAAAATAAGGAAGAGAGATGAGCAAGAGAGGAAAGGAAGTCAAATTATGGTAATATATATACAGTATATATAAAAAACCCAGAGTGTGAATCCAAAAATAAATCTTTTTAAGATTCACAAATCTGGGCAGATGCCAGAAATTTATTCTTCTAGTTAARATACTATTCAACATTTTCAGCAAAATGCAAAACTGTTCAGGTGACAGATACTCGTGCATTTACAGTAATTACTGGCAGTCACTTATAGGTGGGATCTCACTGGGCTGCGACTTATGGCAGCTATGGTGAACTGATTTCGCCAAGGAGACTTCAGAATGTTTACGGGGGTTCTTATTCTCGCTCGAGTCGCACGGGGGTGAGAAAAGGATGGAGCTGGAGATGCATCAAAGGATCGAGGCTTTGTCTGCAGTAACGAAGGCAGTGGTTCAGTCTGTCATGGTGAAACAGCTGAGCTAAAAAGCAAAGCTCTAAATGTCCTGATCTATTTTATGTTGCAACCCTCACCTGTGGTGAGGAGATGTGACTCATGCAAAGATCCTGGATCTAACCTGCTGAAATGACCTTCCTCTGTCATAAATCCTGAGAGGTCTTTACAACATAAACAACACAAGAACATGCTTACTGAAGGCTCTTTTACAGTTTCTGTTAGTGAGGTCAAAGGTTATTTACTACTGCTACAAATGTCAAGACTTTACTATGTGGTGGAGAGACAACGAGACAAATAACTAGACTTTTATGTCTAAAAGCAAAACTTAAAAAGGCAAAAATAAATAATAAAAATTAAAAAACATAAAATATATTTACTGCACAAAAAAGAAATGTGTGCGTTATGTAGCTTCTTGAACAATCACACTGGCTGCGCTTTTTTATACCTTTTCAAATTCTGCTTCCTGGTTCTGGTTGGTTATTTCATGCCATGCCCTCCCATTTTACCTTAACATCAACTTATTCTGAGCTGGGAACCTTGTGGAGACAAGTTGATGTCCATCTTTAAGGTTTGAGATACTGATAGTTAAATTAAAACAGAACCCACAAAAAAATAATAAAAAAGTAATTTGGATATGTTGAATTAGCACTGACTGTAGTTGTACACAACCTGACAAGGAATTCTTTATGGAAGTAAAATATCTGAAACATAGTGACAAGCTCTGAAAAAGTAGTTTGACCATAAAGCAGAGGACTAGAGATGCTTTAGATGCTCTAACTTCCACAACTGATCTAAACCCAGATCAGGTGGTTTTGGTGAACCATTGCAGAATACTGGGACCATAAGTTTTAAGCAAAAATAATCTTTGAGAAATGACATTTGTTGCAATTTTAATCAAACTTTAAAAGTAATTATGTGCAGTCTCACTTCATAAATAACCTTAAGTTTCCACCACATACCATTTTAGTTCAATATCATTAAATTTGACAAAAAAAAAAAAAAAACAACATTTGAGTGTTTTTAGCTCAGTTGGATGTGGCAGCCATTTTGAATTAGGTTGGCTCCAAATGTTAACTAGCTGTTGATGCAAGTCCAATGAACATATTCTGAATGTAATATTAGAACTTGCCTTGTGGTTCATGGGATATTTTACTGACAGATCCACTAAGACACATACAGATAGATAAAAACATTATTGCCACCTTCCTGCGGTGGGAGATAAATATGATAGGCAGGAAAAAGTGTCCAAAACTTTTTCTGACAGAGTGTTGTTCATACAGCAATAAAAATAAAGACAAARTAATTATTTTCATACTTTTAAACACATTTCTATTTAAAATAATAAAAAGTACAGTGTCCTTGTGTTTTGTTCATTTCTAATTGTCATGTTTTACTTTAAAATATGAAAATAAATGTATCCGTATTCATTTTTACATTGCCCTCAAGCAGAAAAATAAAATCTTTGACACTTGTGTGTGTGTGTGTGTGTGTGTGTGTGTGTGTGTGTGTGTGTGTGTGTGTG